CTCTTTCAAAATCACTTGAGTAATCCAAAAACGCAATAAAAAACATACCTTTCTATTTAAAATAACAAAGTTGGCACTCGTTTCCGGTGTAACCGGAAGTGCTGCCATTTTGAAAATATTTGCATTGAGCAGGATCTAAACGATTATGACTATAGTCAAAATTTTAGATAAATATCACTATTAGAACCCCCAATACTTCTAATGTGGGGTTTAGCCGGAACACCCTGTATAATACACGTGATTTCTTTCTGAAACTCGTGCTACGCACTCGTCTCATAAACACATCTCTCACTGATTTTTCGTGGTTTTTATTTTTAATTCCCTATCTCTAAATAAAAAAATAATAATAATTCGAATTTGTTTTGCTACTTTTTCTATTAATAATAGCTTTGACAATGATAACTCAGCATTTTTGGGTCATTTAAATCTAGATACATTTCGACAAATATAAAAACTTCACGTTAATAGCGGATGATCATAAACCAACGAAAATTTTCCTGGGATGATTCTGAGTCCATATATCACGCTTCAAGATCCATTTCGCGGTTTGAGATATTGATTTTAAGGTCAACAAAGGAAATAATCCAAAGAAAAATGGGCATTCTTTCTCAAAATTGCATAAAAATAAAGGGTAACCTTCCCGCAAGGACAAGATCAAAGTGACCCAAATATAGCCTATCGTAATTTTTTATCCTTGGTAACACGTGAGGTTTTGACATTCGCCATCATGCTATGATGTTTGTGTTTTGATTTTTACAGAGAATAATTCGATAAGCTGTGCAATTTTTCATAATCTAAAAGTCGCAAAGTACAAGTTGAATATGATATATATAAGAAGAATAAACAACCGAAATTTACAACTTACGAACAGTTGCAATGGCAGTGTATGTGCCTTTGTGAGAAGGTTTGATTATTTCACAAATGTGGTTAGGAAAAGTTCAGGAGAAAAGTGAGTAAAATTTTATTGTTAACAACAGCGAAACGAGATAGATGGTGCGGTTGTAGCGAAATTTTGCTCTTGTTCAAAGGTTTCAAAACGTAAAAAGGTTTTTTAAATAGTGAGCTTCCAGAGCCCCAAATGTCGCACTAGAGCAATTTAAAATCGATAAAAAATAGTTTTAGTACTTTAAATTGCCTAACTTGTTTATATCTATCTCAGCATTAATTTATTTAAAATAAATCGAGAATAAATTTGATTCTAAATTTTTCTTTTAACCCAAGACTTTCTCATAAAATTTTAATCCTCTGTTTATGTAGCAGATTTCCACTTTTAATTTTATAATAGACAACTTCTACTTTCACAAAACATAATTATGTTAATTTTCGTGCAAAATTATGTTATTAAAAAATATTAATTTTCCATAGGTATGAATGAGTCAAATACATATTTATAATTCTTTTCGTTTTATGAGGTAGTTTAAACATTTTTGTTATTAATTAACGTAAAAGATTCTAAAAAATAGCAATATTCACATTTTCAACAACTGAAAAAAATATTACTGAAAATGATTTTTACATCCTATTGCACATTTAGTTTAGCATACCAAAGGACAAAACAATTTTTGTCCTCATTAACCACTTTTATAATTAACAGAGTTATCATGAAAAATGTACATTTTCAGTATTTTGAACTTTGGGAAATTTCAAAAATAACTCAAAATTTGTTATTTATTAGGTAATTTCTTAATTATGATTTGCTAGACCCGTATAGTAGACATTTTAATTTTTCTGAAAAAGCATTGTTTATGCTAGCAAACTGTTTTTCCTTTATCGCTTTTTTCTAATTATTATGTCAATGTACTTTGTGTTATTTATTTAATACAAACATAAACCATTTTCACACAATTGTGTGTAAATAAGTTTTTTGATTACACAAATATTTCTATCCACTAACAAAAAAAATTGAACTTAAAAATTTCGATATACGTAATTTTAGGCGTTTTAATCCAGGAACCAGTGAAATTTTTTTCAGTTAGTGATTTTAAGTAAGTTTTCAGCTAGGTTGAATAAATTACAAATTAAAAAAACTCAATTTCGATTTACGTTAGCCCAGGTGAAAATATTCAACATTTTCCTACAATTTTAAACGTTTTTTTTGTTTTTTTTTTTAAATTGTTTCAATTTCCCCAATTAGTAAATTCGATAAAAGTTAAAGTTTGCTGTTGATATTTCTCATAAAAATGTAATTTTTTTAACTTTCTGTTTCTGTTGAATTTTGTTTTTTTTTCTCTACAAATATCATTTTTTCAACTTTCTGTTTCTGTTGAATTTTGTTTTTTTTTGTCTAGATACTTTTTCCAGCCATCAAACATCAGTTAGTGATTTTGAATATTAAAAAATTAGAAATTTCCAAAAACTCAATCTCGATTTACTCTAATTTACCGGGCAAGCTTCACCTTTAGCCCAGGTGTGCAAATTTTGAATTTTTAAAAAAAAATTTGAATCCAACTGTTTATTTAATCTTCAACTCGGGTTAAACTAAAAAAGCAGTTATGAGTGGTAGCTACTAAAGTTAGTATCCAGTAAATATAAAAAAATCCAATTTTCACTTGAAAATATTCAACATTTCCTATTTTAAACGGTTTTTTTTTTAATTTTGTATGAATAAAATTTTGTTTCAATTTCTCCAATTTGTAAATTTATTACAAGTTAAAGAAATTTGCTGTTGATATTTCTCATAGAAATGTCATTTTTTCAACTTTCTGTTTCTGTTGAATTTTGTTTTTTTTGTTTAAAAATCTCATTTTTTCAATTTTCTGTTTCTGTCGAATTTTGTTTTCTTGCCTAGTTATAGCCATCAAACATCAGATTGTGATTTTAAGTAAAAAAAATTTTTTAATATAGGGATTTTTCTATGGGTTAACTCGAAAAATGTGTTAAAAAAATGAGTTCCACATTTTTTAGTTTCTACTAACAAATCGTAAGCTAAAAGGAAAAAATCCAGTCTGACTGATTTGTTATTGGCATGACAAATGTCTGAAAAACTGAAAAATTCAAAAAATACTTTTGTTCTCATTTTAGTAATCCTGAAAATTTACGAATTACCGTAAAATGGGGTTACTTTGACACGTTATAGGGCTACTAATTTTGTTTTTTTTTAGTATAGGTACCTACCGAAATTATGTTTATTTTATTTTTATGCCATATAAAAGCCATAACATACCAAAAAATGACTTATTTAATTTTTAAGAAAAAAAATTATGTTTTGTGTTTAATGAGTTTTTAATGATGTAAATAAAGTTTATTTACACCATATATTACATATTTTTAGTTCTAAGGTGTCAAAGTACCCCCCAGGCTAGCATGTCTTTGCTTTTCAACGTAATTAAAGGGACTGTCAAAATAGCCCCAAAGTCGGGGTTTTTTGACACCAGATTTTCTAATTTTTTTTGGAAAAACTGTGAACTTGAGGCAAAATTTTAAGTTTATTAAAGCAGAAAGATCAGTTTTTCTGACGCCAATTTTTTTTAAGAAAATAAAAAAGTTACATTAACAAAAATTCTCAAACGATGTCAAAGGAACCCCGATTTACGGTATTTTTACTGTAACCTTGTGATCTCCTTTAGTAAATCAAAAAAAAAATCATAATGGAAAAAATATAAATGAAAATTAGTGACAAAAAAACTTGAACTGTAATAGTTTACCAAAAATTAAGAAGTGTCTCAAAATCCATTAAATTTGAAAGAAGAAACGTCATTAGTGACATTTAAATGGGACTTTCCTGTGGGTTAGTTAAATAATTTTTAAAATAAATAATCAATAGACACGCAATCTATTAATAAATAGTCGGAGCTTAGTTGTGAGAGTGGATGGTAATTATTTTTTAACATTGGTAGAAACGCACAGTCACGATCCTTCATTCATCGACGCCGCCGTCGGCGTCATCAGCTGACGATGACGTCGACGTCTGCGCTTGCGTCCACTTGAATTCCTCACACAATACACTTATTTCAGCACACGACTACCTTCCACCGGCAATCAGAAAGTAAACGACGAGCACACAGTGAAAATGTCGACGTACGAAAGAGATCGACTGGGTCAACGAGGAACTGGAGACAATGCCTCAACAAGTTCCACAAGCGGTCTGGATCGCCTAAAGAACCCCAAGCTAAATAAGGTAGGACTTTTTCGTTTATTACGACACCGTCTTGGCGACGTCCCGACGTCGGCGTCTATTGACAAAACATGACCCAGTTGGGTGGTTTCGCGAAAATGGGATCGGATGTTGGTTGGTGGGATTTGACGCCTACGCCGAGAAAATGCACTTTTCCGGAAAATTTGGCCGACGTCGACGGACGGGTAGGACTGTGATTGGAAAAATCCAACATTTTTAATTTTTTTAGCCACGAAATATTTCCAAAGTAGATATTGTAAATTTAATCCAAATATTTATTTAAAAAAACAATGACTGAAGAGGTTTTATTTGATTAACAAACACTCTTGTATTCATGCTGTGTTAATCCAGTTCTAATTATCAGGGGCGGACTTATTAATTTTTAACAACAATATTTTAAGAAAAAGTGCTTTTTATAAAATTTAGTGTGATTATTGCTAACGTCAATTTTTTTACAAATTTGATAATTTTTTTAACGATAATTTTTCAGTAAAAGTGGAACATATTGTACATGTATGTACCCAGAAAACAAATATCTTCCAAATTATGAAAAAAAAAATGGGTCCCTATTTGAAATTAGAAAGTTGAATACATCCCAAAATATACTATAACATTTAGAAAAATTATAAAATTGTCAGATTATACTGTATTAAAATCCATTTAATTTAGTTTTTTAATTTTTGAAATCGGGCCATAAATACTAATTCTACAGCGCCTGCCGTTTTTTAAAAATCACCCTGTATACCCAAATTTTGTAGCCCAAATGGGTCATTTCTTTGCAAATCCGTCCCTGGAGTACACTTATACCTAACAACAGTGATTACGCAAATTGATATGACCTTCACCGTTAATTTTTGCTATTGTACCGTTGAATTGTTGTCCCCTTAAATAATTTAAATTTAAATCTGAAAAATGTACTAATTTTTACTCGAAATAGTAGTGTAAAATTTTTATTTATTTTTTATTCAAATTTTAAACGTGTTTTTTGGTAAAATTTAATAGTTTTTAATTGCCGAAATTATGAGAGGTGTGGGTGTTACTCTACATTTCTGACATTTTATCTCTGACACAGTTTACGTCATAAAAATCTCCCAAGAGATCAACCATCACATTTTTCATTATCCACTTTAATCGCTTTCGCCTTTCCATTCTTGCAAAGGAATTCAATGTCGTCCGATTTTATGGTGCTTTATCATCAATAAAGAAAGTATTTTTATCGATTTAATTACGATTGATCGTGAATCCGTAACCTCGTTTCTGTTTTTAATGATTGAAATTATTGTGTTTAACATTTTCACTGAAATTATCTAAAAGGAGTGTCGTGTTCACCAAATTTTTCCAAAGTGCAAACCCAAGTGAAAGTTTTAATGAAAAATAAGCGTTAAAGAACACACATTACTTTAATGTAATGAAATTTTTGTTTTATTCCCTTATCTACCTGTATCAACAAAATAAATTATGTAATGATCGTTTCGCAAACAAATTACACTAACGTGATTTTATCCAAGTACTCAACTACCTAAATAAAATATCCAAAATATTATTGTTGTTTTCAATCCGTATTAGATAGTCAAAACAAAATTATCAGACTTTTGCATTTTTGAATGTTTACAGTTTATAATCAAGTAAATGACCATCACTATCGTAATGTTTCTTGTTTAATTTTGCTGATTCATTTAATTATTACCTGCGAAAGTGCTCATTAATAAAGGAAAAGAAACTTAAAAACTACAACAGCATACTTCCATTAAAGTGATTCTATTTTTGGGGAGGAAATACCCAAATTGACAAGGTGAAAGTTTTGTAAATAATAAATAATGCAATTATGTCTTAACTATCGTCAGCCCTTGGCGAAATTCGAAATTATCTAGGTTTCGTAATATAGTGGGTCATAATTTGATGTATTTTTTTACCAGAATGCCAAAAAATATTTTAATTTTTTTTATTATATTTTAAATTATAATTTTCAGCAAGAGTATGAAGGGCAATGTCAGGCTGGAGGAAAACATTTTGAACACTTGCTTTAGTTTTTTTTTGTTAATTTTATTCTCAATTTTGTGTTTATTAACCTTCCAATTTATACAAAAAAAAATTGTGTATCTTTTTAAGGTAAAGAAGTTTTGAAAATACTCCTTGAGCAAGAATTTATTATATGTATTAAGTGTAATTTCTGTAGAGTGATGTGCAGAATCAAAAATAATAATCATTGTTATAACAGGGAACAAAGCAAGTCCAAAGTTTGATGATTTGCAATTGGAGGATTCCGATTTGGTGGCCAAAGTTCACGATTTTTATTATTTACTATTGTATTGCAGAGTCACTCTAGTGGGAAAGCGAATTTTCTGGAATTGTCATTTCTTATCAATAATTAATTTAAAAACAATTTGTTTGAAGCGAAAGGTGTGCTAAAAATAAGCCTTGGAGTTGCTTCCTCATTGTGTAACTTCCTCATTGCATCAGACAACCACAAACCATATTTTTGTTTCACTTTAGCCACAAGCTATTTCAAAAACAATCGCCCATAAAATGATAAAAAAATCACGCGACATTAAAATTGTCTGGAGTAATGCAATGCAATGACCGTCCTTGATTTAAAAGAGGTCAAATTACTTTCGTGTTGACATTTTTATCAAAATTATACAGGGTGCGCCAGAACTCGCGCCCCAGCATTTTTGCATTTTTGATTACTAATGTCACGTGTTTGTTGCCCCACAGGGGATGGCCTTTACTTTGGAAGAACGCCAAATACTGGGAATCCACGGTTTTCTCCCTCCAAGAGTAAAAACACAAGAGGAACAACTGGAACATTGTCGTATGTGTCTGGAGCGACTTGACGATAGTCTTAACAAATATCTTTATTTAATGAATCTTCTCGTAAGTTGCAATAACATGATCTCAAAAATGTTTCTTTTTAATTTTTTTATCTTTATGATTTAGGACCGCAACGAGAAATTGTTTTATCGCCTTGTTGGGGAGAATGTTCAAGATATAATGCCTCTGATTTACACCCCCACTGTAGGTTTAGCATGTCAAAAATTCGGCTTGGTTTATCGCCGACCTAGAGGCCTTTTCATCACAATTCACGATAAAGGGCATGTTTATGATATTTTGAGTAATTGGTAAGTCGAAGATTACTGAACAGCTGGTTTATTTGTGTTTAAAAATGAACGAATTTAAAAAAAACTTCGTGGGGCGAAATAATAATTTGTTGAAAAGCGTGGATTAACACAATATTTTTTGTATTATTTATTAAATTTAATTATATAAAATATTTAGATATCAGATAGTATGAGTTTAAAAAGAAACCAAAATAAATTTAAATATAAATTTTGACAAAAACCGATAGTTTGAGTTTTTATTAATTATAAATTAATTAATTATAATATTAATTATTATATAAAAAAATTGGACATCAAATAATGTGAGGTTTAAGTATGGGTTTATAAATTTTGATAAAATCTGACAGTGTGAGATTTATTTAACAAAATTCTATGATCTTCACTAGTGTCCTCCACTGTCTTTTGCAACACGATGTCTCGATTGACATTTTTTTTTAAATTGAAGCATTTCTTCAAGAAATTTTTAAATGTTTTTTTGCAAATCCCGAGAATTTTTAAATCGGTACATTTACATGTTTTTTTGTAAGTTTAGAAATTTATTAAGCCAGAATTTCTTGACATTTTCTTAGTCCCCCCAACCGTCTTTTGTAACACGATATTTTTTAAAGTCTTAATTTACATTTTTTTAAATTTGAGCATTTCGATTTGAGAAATTTTTAAACGTTTTCTTTGCAAATCTATTTATAGTTTAAACCGATATTTCTAGACATTTTCTTAGTCTCCCCACTGTCTTTTGCAACATGATATTTTAAAAAAGTTTCGACTGACATTTTTTTAATTTAAGCATTTCTTTAAGAAATTTTAAATGTTTTTTTGCAAGTTTAGAAATTTTTTAAGGCGGTATTTCTTGACATATTCTTAATCCCCCCAACTGTCTTTTGTAACACGATATTTTTCAAAGTCTCAATTTACATTTTTAAATTTGAGCATTTCTATGAGAAAAATTTTTAAACGTTTTTTTGCAAATCTAGATATTGTTTAAACCGGTATTTCTAGACACTTCCTTAGTCTCCTCCACTGTCTTTTGCAACATGTTTAAAAAAAACTGGATTGACATTTTTGTAATTTAAGCATTTCTTTAAGAGATTTTCAAATGTTTCTTTGCAAGTTTAGAATTTTTTTAAGCCGGTATTTCTTGACATTTTCTTGTTCCCCCCCAACTGTTTTTTGTAACACGATATTTTATAAAGTCTCAATTTACATTTTTTAAATTTTTTCTATTTGAGAAATTTTTAAACGTTTTCTTTGCAAATCTAGATATTGTTTAAATCGGTATTTCTAGACACTTCCTTAGTCTCCCCCACTGTCTTTTGCAACATGATGTTTAAAAAAGTCTCGATTGACATTTTTTTAATTCAAGCATTTCTTTAAGAAATTTTAAATGTTTTTTGCAAGTTTAAATTTTTTTAAGCCAGTATTTCTTAGTCCCTCCAACGGTCTTTTGTAACACGATATTTTGAAAAGTCTCAATTTGCATTTTTTAAATTTGAGCATTTCTATGTGAAAAATTTATAAACGTTTTTTTTTTTTGCAAATCTAGATATTGTTTAATCCGGTATTTCTAGACACTTCCTTAGTCTCCCCCACTGTCTTTTGCAACACTATGTTTTAAAAAAGTCTCGATTGACATTTTTTTAATTCAAGCATTTCTTTAAGAAATTTTTAAATGTTTGTTTTTCAAGTCTAGAAATTTTTTAAGTCGGTATTTCTTGACATTTTCTTAATCTGCCCAACTGTCTTTTGTAACACGATATTATCTAAAGTCTTAATTTACATTTTTTAAATTTGAGCATTTCTATTTGAGAAATTTTTAAACAAATCTAGATATTGTTTAAACCGGTATTTCTAGAC